GGGGGGGGGAGGGATTAAGACTGGGGCCTTTTCCATTACTCAGCCACAATCTATATAATTTTACTTGGCATTCAGGCTGCTTGCAGATGTTTTAAAAAAAGACAAAAACAAAACAAAGCATGCACTTTAGCAGAAGTAGCAGCACATTACTTCAACCCAGCTCTGCAGCATGGATATAGACTGGGTGCTTCATCAGGTCTTTCTGGCGTTTTTATCTAACATTCAATCAGCTATTAGACAACAGTGCCAAAAAACCCCCACTAAAGCACCCAATCTATAAAGACACTGGGGGAGCTAGGTCCAACTAACGTGTTACCTCTTCTGGACATGCACCGAGCTTGGTGTAGGGACATGAGGAGTTTAAAGTAAAACATTGATTTTTTTTGTATTTCTTTAATGTCTGCAAGCAGCCTCAGAGTCCAGTTAATAATCTGCTTGTATTCACCAGGTCACCATCACTTTCCTCATCAACTGCAAGTTAAATTGTTGAACTTATTTTTTTTAATACAAGTGATGTTCACATATGTTCAGAAAGATAAGCATCAGGAATTAAACTCAATTGTTATAGTTATAACCCCTTGGCTATAACTTTCCAAAAAAGTGACTATTATTATTATTATTCCCTGCAGTTACAAAGTCCTCCCATAGCCTCATTTGATATTATTTCTTCTTTCTATTAGGGTTTTTAATAATAAATGTAATAATAATAATTTAATAATAAATTATTTTAATCTTCTTCATCTGTTGGAAACTAACTTTATTCTTTTTGGACATGTATTTCTTCAAGGCTTCAATTAATCTTTAGTCTTACAGCAATCCTTATAAAGCCATCTTTTATGCCAACACCTATTCCCTATAAACAGATTATTATAAACACTTAACAAGAAGACCAAAATGTGCAATCTTGTGCCTTGCATCAAGAGAACTAAACAGATGCATCCAGACGAGTGCAGCTGTACAGTATGCAGTGCCACAGACACCACACGCCCCACACATGCAGGTGTTCCCCTGCCACTGCTGTTTGCCCCTGGGGAAATGCATGTTCCCTCTAGGGGATGCACCACCACTTCCCAAAATGATCCTGGTAAATAGCAAACTATTCAGAGAATTTTAACTTTTTTCAACCAGTAAGGGACTGTTCTTCTGTGCATCAGATATTACTGAAACATTTGTTTTCACTCTTACCTCCACAGATATAAATCATTGGCTGCTGCTTTGGTGGCTGAACATCCTTTTGAGAATCCATCCTCTGTCACTAAAAAGCCAAATGTAAGAAACCTGGTTTATCAAAAAAGGGAGAAAACAGACAGCATAACCTTATTTTCTGTACAGGGAATCTAGACCCTTCCTACTCCACATTTCAGATCATGCACACATGCATCATGGGAGCCAAACGTGTCTATCACCATTTCTACCCAATTAGAAACCAGAACATGGTTTGCTGCCAGTTTTCCAATCCCGCATGAAATCCAGGCTAGCATGAAGCTATTTTCTTGTAACTGGCTCAAATTGCTGTTTGGTTGGGTTTTTGTCTATCACAGAGCAGGACAACCTTAGGCATCTCGCAGTGATAATGCTGCTCTGTGTACCTCTCCTCCGGATGCTTACTCCCTGCTGAAGCACAAGGCAAAAGCTCTTCTCCCTTTCCACAATGCACCTATACAAATATTGCTAAAAAGCAAAACACCTGCAAACATAACATACCTGGGTCAAACAAGCAGGTCACAAACCACTGGCAATATTGTTGTAGGCCAGGTTTTGCCACTGCAATCTAACCTATAGCTATATTGAAGCTTTTCTCACAATACAATCACGCATCATCACCAGTGTGGGGATCCACGTTTCCAGTCTACCACTCTGACACCCCGATACTCTGAGGGAATGCAGGCAGCGATACCCTAGCATACAGAAGATACGTGAACACAGAAACACCACTCTCTAAAGCAGGGGTGGCCAACCCGTGGCACAGGTAGCCTCTGTGTGCCAGGCACAGCAGATAGGGCAGGGAGCAGAAAGCAAAGCAACAACTCATGCAGTGGGCAGAGGGAAGGAAGCAGGGCAGCAGAACAAGGGAGCATAGCCTGGGACAGAAAGCAGAGCAGAGGAGGGGGATCAGAGTGGCAACCTGGGGAGGCTGCATGGCAGGCCTGCCAAAAGGTTGACCCTCCCCCCCAGGGAACATTTAACTACACACAGAGCTGGAGTAAGAGTACAGAGCAGCTGGGAAGGGCTGCCAATAGACCAAAAACCCAGGACGTTACAGGAAAACAAGGTGCCAACAGGGCCCCCTCCCCCGAACAACCCTCCTCTGGCCGGGGGCAGGCGCCATCTCCAAGGCCAACCTTCGGTCACATCCTCCTCAAAGGCGCCCCCTTCCCCACCCCCTGGGCCTTCCCGGCGGTGCCTCTGAGTACGCAGCGGCGCGGGG